GTAATATTTATTTGTTATCACCATCATATTCATATATTTTGCAGAATGTCACTTCCAATTATTTTTTTGTAAAACAGAAAGTAAAGTTACAAAATTCTGCACATATTTGACCACAATTAAAAAATACTGTTACCCTTGTACATTTGAAAGTTTTTGTTACTTTGCAAGTGAAGATTTTACATGTAACGTGTTCACAGACATTCATTCATTTATTAGCAGTAAAACCCAATAATAATAATAAATACTAATATCTCATGAGCTACTTTTGATACTTTTAGTGCATTTTTTCCAATTATATTGACTTACTCCAGCTGTAAGTTGAAAAGTCTCCACTGTTAGCACAGTGATGAATCATAATAATCATCATAATCATAATAATAGCTGGTTAATGGATTAGCACTTGTTTTGTTTGGTAATAATCTGAATCATGTCTGCTTGTTTCTGTATTTGTGTTTTCTCAATTTGTCACATTTTTCTGTTTTCTGAGTTTGCTTGTATTTCGTCTGGTGAATGTGTTTTAAGTTGTAGCTTCAGAGTCGCCATATTTGAGTCTTTTTACTGCAAAAATGTCAAAAATTAACTGGATCCAGCTTCAAATGTGACACTGTGCTGCTTGTTGTTGGCTTGTATCATTTAAAACTGAATATTGTTGTGGCTTTTGTCTGTTGGTTTATTAAAAACACAAAACCTGAAGGCTATTTTGTGATTACTTTTTTTTAATTAATTGACTAATTACGACACTGATTGGCAGAACAACACAAATTACTACATCTGTTTAACCGTATTGCCATTCAGTATGTGTTCATACCACAAGCAGATTAAACAAAAACCTTTTATGTCCTTACAGCTACACCACAGTTAATCATTAAAAACGTGTAAATGCTCCATTTAAAAGCCAACTGAGATAAAGAGCTCCAGAACACTGTTCCATTGTAACTTTATTAACAGTTGGCCGCTGGTACACCTGCAGCACCTCCTGACTGAATCATATCTGCAGTCTCTCCTGCACTCTTACATAAACGTGTATTCATGTTGTGGTATTGAGTAACAGGACGAGAGGCGGATGTGAGCGGCATCCACCTGCAGCTGCTGTGCACAGCGAGCGGTTTGGAGATTCAGGTCAGATGCGCATTTCTACTCTTTGCTGCAAACTGCCTGCTGTGACACAACGAGTGCAGCTCAGGAGATGTTCAGTCTGGTTATTTATCATCTGTCAGGGCAGAGTGAGGAGCTTCTTTCATCATACAATGTTTATGTTGGAGCTTCTCGGTTTGCTTTGGTTTGATTCTGTCTTGGAACAACTTGCACATGATGCACTTTCACCTCAACACAAAGAAACATGAAGCACTGATGTGCAGAAACACATACAATGACACCCACTATACACCAAGTGCAAAATAAACAAAGTCCTCTGCATGAAATTAAAACAGGGACAAATTAAAATAACCTATTTCTAGGTTCTGTGGTATGTTTTCATCAACTAGTGCATTTCTCATTTCAGCAAAAGCACAAAATCTACATCTTTCATCAGGACACAAAGATGCTTTGGTGTGTTATTAGGATGAAAAGCAACAGTCGGCCACATACAGCATGTAACACATACTGAAATACTACACATCTACACAGTTCTAATGATAAACATCTGAATGCAATCTAATTATTTGGTCCCAAAACATAATGTGAGCATTTGTACAGCGGCCAATGATCCTTTAATTGACAATTCACTACTCAATTTTGCTGCAGTATCGAGAAAACCCATGAAGCATCGATTCACACGCTGCATTTGCATGTAGACAGGTCGATCACGGCTGAAGCTGCACCGACTTCCCATGAGCACTCAAGATAATTTGATTTTCTGTCACACAGCGTACAACAACACTCCATCAAGACAGTGTTCATTGATTGGAGAAAAAAAAAAGCCTCTGCTGCCGTGGTTATAGAACACAAGTGCAGTCAATAATGAAGAATCAAGATGTTTATCGCAACTGCAAGGCGGTAACATAAAGCTAAACATTTAAGTGTTGTCTTTGTCTGCACAATGAAAAGCTTCATTGTAGCGTATTTTATGCTAAGACCTATTTCTTTCTTTGCATCTTGGAATTTTCCACTGCCTTTTATGTCTTGTATAAATGCATCTTACTCTTGAGCCCTGAATTATTCATATCCACACCAAATATTGATTTATAGTGAATTTTTATTTGACCAGTAGGTTTCTTCTGCTTTGAAATGACTTAAACAAGCAACAAAAAACCTGATAAAGATAAACTATGTCGATTTTTTTGTTGTCGTGGTTCTTTTTTTCTTTTTTTTTTGAAACATTTTTACTAAATCTGTTCTGATCAAATTAAAATACAATATAAATCAAAATTTGGCATGAATATTAACAATGTTTAACTTAATTGCAAGTAAAGTGCTTTGTATCATCTAGTAAACCCACCCATCCATCCGTTTATATCTTATGATTGTGGTGCAAATTTAATTGATGACAAATAATTGTCATGTTGTTCACCTGTGATTGTTGGATCATCCACCACAGCTTTGTTTTTGTTATTAATCCACATTACGCCTTAAAGGGCTGCACAGTATCAAGTCTTGCTTTAACAGAAACCAGATAAACGTAGCATAATTGCACGATTTTTCCCTTTTTCTCGTCACTCGACCTTGTTGTTGTCCAACGTCCTGTCTACATACTCGCTCCACAAGCCTAATAACGTCCTGCATTGATGACTTGATTTTATCACTTCTTCATGTACATATTATCAGACTCAAGCTCATTTAAAAATGCAAGTTGATTTCCGTGCGTGTGGGCCTTTAAAGATTTATTTATTCTACAAAAAGGGTTGTAGATCATATTTAGAACCATTTAACATCCACATCTTTTTAAAGGAGGTGAAACTGGCTCTTATTATACAAAAGAGAGTAAGATTAATAAAAATATATAGATTAAGACAACAGCAAAAAGCTTATTGATTTGTTTGACTGTACTTATTGGACTCGACGTTCACAAAGATGAAGCGGCATTTTTCTTTCCATGTGGAACAAAAGTCAGTTGTGTTAAAGATGTTAGTGAGGAATTATAATTATATCCATGTTTTGTTTTTTTATTAACATTTTTCCTCATTCATCTGTCACCAAGTTTTTATTTGTCAACAGAGTCTTTGGAAAAGTTCACCTGGTCAAATAAAAACTCTATAACTTGTGATGTGGGATGGTTATGTAGCACTGGAGGATGAAACACACAGGTGAGTTGTTAATAAAGAAGCCAGCAGTCAGCTACGAGCTAGTTTATCATTAACATTAAAGTGTAGCAGCATTATATTGTGCTTCTGGGTGCTGTGCTGCCTCACCTGATGCACCTGAGTGGGTGGGGCTGAGTATTTAGGCTGCGACCCTCCTGTTTCCTTCTCTGCGCTCCCATCTGTGTCACTTCTGTGTGCAGGTCTGTCAGTCACAAAGCAACTGGTGTGTCCCCAGTCTGTGTGTGTGTGCGCTCATGTTCCCCAATCCTGGCTGGTTGTGGTAAAGTGCAGAGATGCTTGGGCCCTCTCCCTCCCTCCTTGGTGTGTGTGTGTGTGTGTATCCGCCACTCGTCATAGTTGCTGAAGGCCGGTGGCGGTGGTGATCTAGGTGGTGGTGTCCCCCTCCTTCGTGTGCTGTGATCCCCTGGGAATAGGTTTACCTCACTAAGAGTGTGTGACACATGTACGTGGGTGTTTTGCTTTATTTTGGGGAACTCCCCTCTCCTTCACTAGCCCCTGTCCGGCTGGTAAGCCTCAGCAGTCTGTTAGGTCCTTCTTGAATGGCAACATTTTAAAACTAACAACATGTATCTTCAAACTTGTGCAATAAAAGTATGTGACTGAATCTCGGCTCCCACGTCTCGTGCCTTGTGGGTAGAACGGACCTGTGTGCCTTCTTGTGTTCAAAGAGGGTAATTCTCTGGGTGCAATTCCCAGAGTGGCGTTATCGGGCACCTAATCCTCCTTTCAATTATCCTGGGATCATTTTAATGCATTGTGCATTGTTGTAGTCTGCCACAAAAGCATTAAAGGGTTTAGCTGTAGAGGGGAGGGCAACACACTAATCAGCAGGTCGATGTGTGCTAGCAGCCAGTAACCAAAACTACATACAAAATAAATCTACTCTTCCCCGTCCACTTCAGCCACTCCTGCTACTGGAGGCCAACACCAGCCTGCAGTGCTGAACAAATGGCAGGTTGTCAGCTAACCAGACAAATACTGAGAGCAAGAAAATATAAAAGAAGTCATATAAACCAAACGACAACCAGCACTTTACCTGTGAATGTAACACAATACAAATTAATCTCTTGTAATAACAGGTAAAAATGCAGCCAAATATCATAAAGACACTGGACTTTTCTGAGTCTGTAAAGAAAAAAAACTGCAAATTATTAACAGATCCACGTTTTATAATAAACCCAAACAAATTCCATATAAAAGAATTATTACCTCTGTGTGAGTTTTCACCACCACATGACCCTACCAGCTCAAACAATCCTAGTTAGAACTGAGTCTATTTGTTTTACTGAAGATGACACACCTGAGCTGCAGGTGAGCTGCTCTCACCCTGATTGGTCAAGCACTTCCGGTTGCTAGTGTCCCCCATTTACAGGTTAAAATCATTTGGGCTTAGAAAGCATTCAGAGTGCAAACCGACCCCTTCCTTAGCTAACTTAATTGTGTTTAATTTTCGAATTAATGAACGATTACGCGCGTGTTAATTCATAACGTCAAAATAAAAGCATGTATTTTTAAAGATGTTTTGCAAACTCAAAACTGTTCTCTTCTTGTCATTGTGGTGCTGAAAACTGAATCAGCCTCACATCTCCGAGCCTCGGGGATTTGTCTAGATTCGTGTTTCCCTCAGTTCCGACCAGTTTGTTATTCTGCGACTTTTATTTTGAAATGGCCTCTTTCTTTACAGAGAGGCGGCTCTCGTCGTGCATCAGAGCTTCACGCAGCAGAAACGCGGGGCTCACTCATCTTCCGTCTTTACTGTGTGCAGTGAACGCATCAGGAGAGAGAGAGAAAGAGAAAAGGCGCTCCTTCAGTCTGAACCTGGACTTTAATTTGGCGTTAAAACATGCCAGGATTCTAAAACATGCAGCTGCGTTCAGACAACAGGAGCTTCCGGCCTTAGAATAAACTTCATCCAAGTCATCTGCACTGAGAAGCAAAGGTAAGCTGCTCCAGACCAGAACACAATCCAATACAGAAGCTCCTTGTATAAATTGACTGATATAGCAGCTGCTCGCTTGTCTTCCTCTTTCTCTCTGTTTCACTTCTCTATCCTCCATCTCCACCTTGCACGTGTATTTGCTCTTATTTACTACAAAATATGCACTTTTTTAATTGAATGAAGTATTTTTTCACAAATCAGCTGCACCAACACACAGCAGCAAAGCTTTAAATTTGGCTTTTTGAGTGAATTATTGCTGTTATTTAAAGGCTGCTCTCCAATCAGAGCAATAATATCTTCTAGATATTCCTGAATTCAGCTAAAACTCATGCCAAATCTTACATTTCTGATGTAATATTTGCGTTATTAATGATCCTTTACTGGACTGTGCTGTTTGAGTCGCCTCCTTTGTTTCTTAGTTGCATGCATGTAGTCCCTCACTTTGGGGAAGTGGTTTTAAAAAGCCGCTGTTGATGTGAAAAAGAAATAAAAAGGAGGTTAAAGGAGGAAGTAAATGCAAAAGATACAATAGCCCAGCATGTGTTTATACATTTGGTCTGAACCAACTGACTGTCACCGCAGAGGTCAGGCATCAAGGTAAGAGGTTTGATCTCTGATGTCTGACCACCTTCTGAACGCTGTGGTGGAAGAAAACATCCACTGTGAGGCGGCTATTTAGAGTCATCATTTTCTGCATTAACCTTTTTTTTTCCCTTAGATAATAGTTGAGAAGCCCTTCAAAGTTACCAGATATCTCCAGTGGAATCTGTTTTAACAGCTTGTTTCACTTGACCAACACTCCACAACCAAAAGCAGACTCAGTTTACTGTCATTTACCGGAAAGAAATCCTTCTGAGAAGCTAAAACTGGACTGGTGGCATGTTGCCTCATTGGCTTACGAAACAACTAAAATAAGTCAGAAATGAATAAAAATGCTGCTGTATACTCTACTTTATCTCCACTTTATTCTACTCTGTCTGTTATTCTGCTGTGTTTTAGAGGAACATGTTGTACAGTGTTATTACTTATGATGTAATTTTACATCAAAAGCATATGAAACCTCGACAGCTTTCACAACTGAAACATCCCTTTTTGTTTGTGTCGACTCATGGAAAATGGCTAAATTAGGTGACAGTAGCACAATTGAGTATCTTTGGGTTTTGTTTTTTTTAGTCAAATCAACAATTTAAACGTCACCGTATTCAGAAATTTTTTTTCAGTACTTTTTGACATAGTTAGCAATGTGATCTGCAGGCTAATCAATAATGAAAATGCAAAAAGCAGTTGGAGCTCTTTGCTTTATTTCAGTTGTTTATGATCTCACATTTGTTTCAGTTAAATTACTTTTCAAGGCCTTTATTTTATATATAAAAGCAAAAACGAGAGAAAAATTAAACGTGTTTGCTTCTTTTCTTGAACAAGTAACCCTACAGTAATTCCTAAATGATCAAATTATCTGATTTAATCTCCTGCTGTCAAGCTGCTTTAGTCTGACGCCTGACTCTGAGCTCATCTTATCTCCTCTTTATTCTACTTTAAACCCGATTCTGTTATATTCTAGGGGTCATTTTGTACTGTGCTAAATTGTAGTTACTTTTAAGATCATGATTTTTTTAAAAAAAGAAACATTGAACATAAAAAGGACACTTAGCTACTCCAAGAAAACTACAGACAAACATTGTCTAGTTGATGCTTTTCTTTTCCGTTATGTGACAGAACATCTTAAGATTTTGAACTGTTAGCAACAATTTAAAGTTTTGAAAATGTCACCTTTAGACTCTAAGAACCTGATTTCTTTTTGCCCTTTTTTAATGGACACAATTAAAAATATAACTTGCAGGTGAATCAATAATGAGTTTGTAGGTGTTTTATTTCAGGTGTGTATGAGTAGAAGTTGTTTCATTTAAAGAACCGCCAAAAGATGTGAAACTGACCACATAAAAAAAAATCTAAAATGAATGAAAAGCCTCCAAAATAAATGACTTGTTTTACTGAAAAACAAACAGACAAACAAAGAAAAATTACTTTATTAGCAAAATATCTGCTCTAATCGCTTGCTTTGATTAGAACAATATGCTGCACATTTTGGGGGTAATTTTATCCCCAGTTTGTTCTGTTTTATACCCAATTCTGCTAGATTCTAGATGAACATATTGTTGTTACAACACATGAAGCATTCTTATTATTAAAGATGTCACCTTGGACTCTGGTGCTCCAAATAGCATTTTTTTCAGTACTTTCTTTTTTTCTTTTTTTTTGCATTACGGTAATTTCCGGACTATTGAGCGCATCTGAATATAAGCCGCACCCACTAACTTTAAAAAGAAAGCAAATTTGTACATATACAGGCTGCACTTGTCTATAAGCTGCAGGTGTCCATGTTGTAAAATGAGATATTTACAAAGAAAGATGTTACACAGAAAGATTTTTTCAACTTTTAATTAAATGCGTACTAGCAACATACACAAATACGTACAGTAAATGCTTTTTTCCGAACAGTGCCTGTAACACGCCCAGTTAAGAAAATAAAAAAACCAGTAGCCTACCAGGAAAAAGTCATTGATCGCTATCTTCATCTTCCTGCTGCGCACTAAAACCACTGAAGTCTTCTTCTTCAGTGTTGGAATTAAACAGCCTCAGAGTTACTTCGTCACAAACTTCCTCAGTCTCTCTTTCGTTGTCGTTCTCAATGTCACTTTCAAATTCGTAAAACTTGCAAAAATCCATAAATTAGTCATTGTTTAAGCTGTAGTGTTCAAAGCGTGTGAAAAAAGTAGCAGCTTATAGTCCGGAATTTCCGGTAATCTACGGATTAATAGATAATGAAAATTAGTTTTAAATGCAGCTCTGCAAAAAGCAGTCGGTTGCTTATTTCAGTTGTCTACGAGCTAACATGGTTTAATTTAAAGAACTGTCTGAGGCCTAAACATGTAAAGGTGTTGAATATTTTACATAAATAAGCAAAATGAACAGGCCTTTTTGCATCAGAATCCTTTCATAACCCCTCAGGTTTACTTTGTGACCCTTCTGAAGGTCACAGGCAGAAAACCACAAGACGTAGAAGTAGCTCCGCCTGAAGCAGCTCCAGCATTAAAATGTAGCTTCTGCGTTGATTCATTGGCACTAATCCAATCAGGGAGCACACGTTTCTTTATATGAAGGACTTCACATTCTCGAGGAGAATGTTGTTCTTTTGGTGCTTTTTACTCCACTGGACGTTTTAAAGGGGGTTGGCTCATGCGTCATTTGCTGCCAGTTTACCTGTAACACCTGCAGCGGTCGTGTACAGTCAAGTCCACTTTAGCAGGATTTTAAAATATTTGTACTTCACAAAGGTCAATCAGTGAATAACAGATTTGACATTTTTAATGCACAGCTGTGTAAAGTACTGTAGTTCCACCTTAATCAACAGTACAATACAACATACATATAAATGTATTTAGTATTCACCACCCAGTAATACGATATGTAAATTGGAGCATTTTTATGATGTCTGGGTACTTGACAACGTTATAAATGCAGGATATTTACTTGTATGGAGCATTAATAACGCTGTAGTATTGCTAGTATCTGTAAAGGTAACTTATGTGTATGTATTTATCTGCATGCTTGCTAATTAATGCTCATTATTTCATCTATTGATGTCAAAAAAGTATGAAAATATGTTATATCTGTGTTTCATCCAAAAACGGCAGCAGATATTTGCATTTCAGAAACTGGAACCACTGAATGTTCAATGTTTTTGCTTAAATATACAATAATATAAGAATACATATGAATAATGGATCAAGAAATGTATCATTTCATTGTCAAGGGTTGTAACCAGTTATTAATTAAGCTGCTAATCATTTTCCTTGTCAATCACTTATTTATAAAATTTCCGACAGCCCAAGTTGGTGTCTTTGAATGTCACAGCCAACAGGCCAAATCACAAGAAGCACTTACACTGAAGAAGCTAATATTTCTATCAGTAGTTTTTGTATAGGGCTGCAACTAATCATCAACCTTCAGGGTTTTCAAGTTGACATCCAAAGATATTCACTTTACCATCACAACATAAAAATATCTTCTTACTTTAAAAAAAAAATCAGATTTTCTTGTTTTACTTCCTCCACCACAGCTACCAGGTTTAAATATGACGACCAGCAGTCTGAACCCGTGCGTATGCATGGCTCTCTGCACTCATGCAGCTTGTGATGCAGGTGCATCGATGTGAGAACGAAAACGCCCCTTTAGTTAACAGCGAAACTTCACGCAACACTGCAAGCAACACTTCTTACCGCTGAAACCCTGTCTCCACACAGCACATGATTATGTGAGTGCATCATGGCAGACAGAGGATTTCTGCGGAGCTCGAGGAAAGAGTAGTTGATGCTC